AATGACAATGACAATGACAATGACAATGACAATGACAATGACAATGACAATGACAATGACAATGACAATGACAATGACAATGACAATGACAATGATAGTGATAATGGTCATAAATGACGTAAATAATTATATGAGCAATAGAAATAATTATAACAATTATCACAAAAAATATAGTTCCAATGATGATGATAATAAAAATAATTGGACTGATACAAAAAATACATCACTATCTTTGTATTGCCGTCATAAACTTGTTCGAGTCCGTAAAGATATATGAATTTATGCATATACGTGTATATGTATATGTACATAAGTGTATATTTATATAGAGATATACTCCAGCAATTATCATAACATTATATTTTGCACTGAAAGTTTTGCTTATCTTTTATTTATCCATAAGATTTGCGTTTGCTTAACGATTTCACTGAAAAGAAACAAATTTGCATTTTGTGTTTCTCCTCTGTTTTATTTCTCTTGCAGCCGAACAACAACAACAACAATTTCTCGACTAGAGAGAAACAGCCGTAAAATGTGCTAAATAGGGAATAAGGAGAGAAACAAACGAAACGCATCAACAGCAGCTCGTACAAAGTGAGAAGCCAACAGAAACCGTACCATGGACATGACCAAGGACATTATGGACTTCGAAAGGAAGTCGCTAGACAGCAGCTGCGGCGAGCAATTCGAACCCAGCGACTACACAATGGTTAATGCAGAGCTGGCCAAGCAGGCCGCACAGTCGGCACAGGCGGTGGACCAGGTGGAGCTCGACCTGCCGCTAGAGCTGGCCAAAAAAGAGGAGCCAGAAGCACAGCCAGAGCCGCTGCAGCAGCTGAAGGAGGAGAATCGAGCCGTTGCCGCCGAGAAGCCAGCTATGCTTAATGAACAGGCGCTGACCCCACCGCCACGCCCACTCACCTCCAGTGAGGTGGTGGGTCACAGTGAACCCAGCGACCCGGAGCTACAGATCCAGCTGACGGCCAAGAAGAGTCGCTCCTTGCCCGTCTCCCCACAGCCGCTCGTCGCTCACAATTTGGCCGCCATTGGACTCTTTGAGTTCGGCAAGACGGGGGAGACGCCGGAGCTGAAGCCCAAAATGAATCACAAACTGTTGCCACCTGTCAATGTGGGCGTGGCGCCGCGCAAGGTAGCGCCCAGCGCGGGCGGGGGGGATAACCAACAGTTTTGCCTGCGCTGGAACAACTATCAGTCCAATCTGACAAACGTCTTCGATGAGCTGCTGCAGAACGAATCCTTCGTGGATGTGACGCTCGCCTGCGACGGCCAGTCGATCAAGGCTCACAAAATGGTGCTGTCCGCCTGCTCGCCCTACTTTCAGGCACTGTTCTACGATAATCCCTGCCAGCATCCGATTATCATCATGCGCGACGTCAACTGGTGCGATCTGAAGGCTCTGGTCGAGTTCATGTACAAGGGCGAGATCAATGTGTGCCAGGATCAGATCAATCCTCTGCTAAAGGTCGCCGAAACCTTGAAGATACGCGGCCTGGCCGAGGTGGGCGCCAGCTCGACCGCAGCGGGCTTGGGTGCTGCCTCGATGCTGCCCGAGCAGCGCATGAGCGTCTACGGCGATGAGGAAGATGAGGATGAGCTGGCCGCTGCGGCAGCCTTGCTGAACGACGAGGACGAGGATGAACTGCTAAAGCCCAAGCGTGCTCGCCTGCTGGCCAAGCTGCGCGCTGCTGAAACTGCGCTCGATCTCAATCAGCGCCAGCGCAAGCGTTCCAGAGACGGCAGCTATGCCACGCCCAGTCCGCTGCGATCGGAGTCGCCCAGCTCGCAGCTGCCGCTGGCCATGACCACGTCCACCATAGTGCGCAATCCCTTCGCCTCGCCCAATCCACAAACGCTGCCCGCCTCCTCCGGCTCGAGCAGCAACAGCAACAGCAACAACAGCAGCTGCAACAACAGCAGCAGCAACAGCAGCTCCACAGCCACAGCAGCCGCACAGCCGACAGCCACAAACTGCTCCAGCGCCAGCTCGGCCGGAGTTCCCTCGAACGGCTCGTCATCCGCTGCCTATCGCTCGCCACCGCCGCCGCCTCCACCGCCGTCCTCGGCGCACAGCAATGGCAGCTCCGCCGCTGGACTGAGCTCACCAACTGGCAATAAGAGTTCGGCTGCAGCAGCTGCTGCACAGTCGCAGCTGCCGCCGCACATGGCCGCCGCTGTCGCTGCCGCTGCCCACCACGCCTCTGCCAACGTGCCGCCTCCGCCGCCGGGCGCCGCGGCTTCCATGCACCATCATGCAGCCGCCGCTGCCGCTCAGCAATTGGCCGCCCAGCACCAGCTCGCCCATTCGCATGCCGCCATGGCCAGCGTGCTGGGCGCTTCGCTGGCCGCCGCTGCGGCGGGCGGCGCGGCTGCACCGGGCAGCGCAGCCGGCGCTGGCAATGCCCCATCCTCGGTGGGCGGACATCATGACGACATGGAAATCAAGCCGGAAATTGCCGAAATGATACGCGAAGAAGAGCGGGTGAGTTGACCTTTGTCGATGMTGATATATTAAATATGATATGATATGATGATACTGTTTATAGATCGATTATACTAATCGAAGCTGAGCTATGAATGTGTTCAAGAGATAGATAATGAATACATCTAGATTTTTTTCTATAAATGCTTTTTTTAGTATCTAAATATTTTACCTCAATCCATATTTAATGTACATAAGCCACAAATTCTTGATTATTCAGCTGCCATGTGCCAGAACTTATACTCTTATGCCAATAAGACCAATTTTTCCTTTTAATAGTTTTCATAACTCAATCAGAGACTTTTCCAAGTATAACTTGTATAACTTATTCACCAAGAATTTTCCAGAAATTCTTCAACTTTTCAATTCCGTTGATCGAGTTCAAATTCGAACTTTGGGTTTTCCCCTTCCTAATTAAATTCGATTATATCCAGCAAATATTGTTTGTTTTTATTGCAAAGTTCTTTAACTCAAATTGATTAGCGGTATTTTTTTATAAATTGTTTAAAACATAAATCGACTACGCATAATCTTCATAAGTGGCTGATGATTTAGCAAATTTTGTTTAAAGTATAATATAGTTATGACTACTTGAACGTACGCACAATCAGTAAATAGATTAATATCGATGACAGATTAACTAATTGGCTAATTAGGGCCAGGTAAGAGCACACGTAGAATGTGTCTTTATATGATATGGAATATTATATATGCATATAGTATTGTTAGCTATTTTTCTTGCATTTGCTAACAAGTCAAAGGCCTTGCGATCGAAGTTGAATTAATTTTGAATAGTGCGCATACGACGCGTGTGACTAAAAAACAAAATATACCGAAGACAAACAAACAGCAAAGTTGGAAAAGTGCATAAATGCATGCCTATTACAAATGAATTTACACAACAACAACAACAACAGCAACAACTAAAGTGTGTTGGTTGTTATTTCTATTAGATAGCACATTAAAGTCGATTTTCTATTTGTATAAAGTAAAAACAAAAAGCCAAATTGCGTTGCATTTGCAAAAGTCTGGGCAAAGGAGAGAGTCTAGAGCGGCGGAGTGGATGGGTGGGGGCAGCAAGTGGTGGAGGGCTTGAGGTCTCGACATTAACTGCGTCAACGACTTGAAAAATAATTCAACATTTAATGCTAATGAGGCCAAATTGCGCAATGCACGCATAGACCAAAGAAAAGTGGGCTTCAGCTACAACAACAACAAATTAGTTAAACAAATGACAAAAATTGATGGCAATGCAAACAAAAGTGCGCAAATATTTGAATTGCAACACGTYTTGTTGTTGTTGATTTTCTTTATTCGTTTATCTCAAGGAGTTGCATTGCATTTATCTATAATTCCGACTAATGCGGCTTTAATTTCAACATTGATTGCACTCCAGATGCAGAGTGCAGCGCGTGCACTGAGAGAAACGGGTGGCGAGCAGATGAAACAAAAGTTAACTTAGCTTTGGCAAAAATCATAAATTTCTACACTGAGAGAAAGACGTAGCTATGGATGCTTGGGTAAGCAAACACTGAGCGAAATGGGCAGTGAGTTTAGCAAGTTCATTGTAATATAACTGAAGCTGAGCTGAGAGAAATGGCTGATGAGTATAGAGAGATCAAGAAATGCATTAAGTTTTTTCTCAGTGTAGCTAAAGTCTTGTCTATAACTCTAGATATGTATATATTTATTTGAGTTTGTTTCTAACTTATGTTTGACTTTGCTTGCTGCAAAGATTTTTTATGTAAAACTCTTGACATTGAATTTCGAATGGATTTTTTTTTTGTGTGCTAATATTTTTCATATATTATTTTTGCACTTAAGAAATACCTGTATGCATTATATAGTATATAAATATGTGCATATATAGATATTGTATTTGTATATCTAATTGTTTTTGCTTTGTTTTTTGTTGTTGTTGTGTTTGATTTGTGGCATAAATAATGCATTATATGCGTCGTTGTCGCTATTCGATGGGTGTATATCGGAATGTGAATGTGTGTGTGTGTGTGTGTGTGTGTGTGTGTGTGGCTTATGAATATGAATGCTGAGCTGTAGATGTAGATGTATATATGTATATATACATATATAAATTCAATATGTAGCAGCTGCTGCATAAATGAGGGGCGAAAAGTTACAACAACAAAAATGAGAAATGAGAAGGAGAAAGAGAAGGAGAAGGAGAAGGAGAAAAAACAAAAGCACACGATGGCAACCATTTTCTTCATTTTTGCGCTTAATTATCTTTTTGCTGGCGCAATTTACTGTTGCTCTGTTAATTTATTGAAATGAAATCAAGAGAAAATTGTAATAAAAAAAGAAATAAATAAAGATGAAGCAGCAGCAGCGGCAGAGGCAGAGCCAAGAAAAAGCCAAAAAAAAAAAAACTTTTTTCGGCGCAAAGCAAAAACTTGAGCAGACGCCTGGCTGTCATCAATGGGGAAATCCCCGTCAAGAAGAGCCCCCAAAAAGACCCCACAGCCCAGCATCCCCACCCACCCCTAAGACTCGACGGCAACAGCTGCCCGATGAAGTCAACTGCGTGTAGGTGGCAAATGTTGGCCAAAAAACTGAGCGCCTATTACTTAATAGAGTCACAGCCGTCAGGGCACTTGCTCTCTGAACTCTCCCGAGAGGCGAGCGAGYGAGAGCGCTTAGCTGAGCTTTCATTCACAGACAGTTTGTAGTCAACACGCACACTCACACACACGCAGACACACAGCCAAACACACTCTCGCACACACATTGAGAGCGCTGAAATACCAAGCAGTCAGCAAAAGTTACGCGAAGTAGCAAATGCCATGGCTGCTGCGTATAAGTTGATGGGCGTTTGAGAGTGAGAGGGTGGGCGTGGCAGTGTCGGTGTAGTACAGTTCTTGGCTCTCTGCCCCACTCCCCCACTCACCCAATCGCTCACCCTCGCCCGCTGCCCCTCTCGATGTGTTTACACATCATTTTGTGTGACGCTCACTTGAGTTCCTTGACTTTTTGGTGGATTCTCCTAGCAAGGCGCTTGTGTGTGCATACCACGTAGCGGCATTTTATTAAGGGTGTATCAGCTGGGATATATATATAAATAAAATTATGAAAAGAGTTAAATATTTTTTAGAGAATATAGATTAGAGAGTTCTACCATATCGTAAGATCTGAAGACAGTTTATTTTCCAAATTTACAGGGTATCTCTTTGGCTTGCATTCATGGCAAGCAATTGTTTTTGTAAGAAAATTACTGAAAATTGCCAAGTGCGGAAAAGTTCTTTGACAGCTCAGTGAGCAGCTGCCGCGAGAGAGATAGAGAGAGACTGAGAGAGAGAGAGAGGGCGAAGGAGGGATAGTCTTTGTCTGCAGTATTAGTCATAACTGTAATGTGCGAGTCGCAGAGTCTGCGAGCTACTTGTCTTTAAGCCTCGATGTCGAATGTCGATGTCGATTTATGCAAATCAAGTTGCTTGAACTCCCGAATGGAGCGAGCAGAGCGCAGGTCGTCAGCTACTTACAAGTGATACCGAGAGAAAGAGAGAGAGAGAGAGACAGAGAACGAATAACATAGAGAGCGAGCGCGCGATTGTCTTTTTAGGGATCGTGTGAATCAGTGCTTGGATCAGTGAGTTTGTCAACTGTTTCCGGAGTATCGAACTGTGGGGTCGGCGGCTCATTAGGCCAGTTTGATTGATTTCCACTCTAAAAAGCCGCAAATAAATCAAATTTATGTTTTTGGGGTTTTAGTTGTTTCTTCTTTTATTATTTAACATAAATGAAAACCTTTTAAGACCACCACAGTGTAAATATATGAGCGGGGCAGGCATAATTCTCTTTACCCCTTTCTTTTCCTCTCTGTGTTTATTTGCCGGCTCACTTAAGGGCTTAATAAAGTTTTAAGGTTTGTTCTTTGCTTTTGTTTTTATTGCTATTTCGAAAAAAAAAAAAAAAATTGTAGAAATCTTGTTCTTACGAAATTTATACGAAAATATAATCAGGAAATGAACATGCTCTATAATTTATGGCACAATTTTCGATAATATGTTGTGCATTAGCTGCTTCTTCATTTTCGACTTTTGCTTAAATCATTGGGAAAGCAACAACAACAACAACAACGAAATAAACCCATAAAATGTGATATTATAAAACGCACGTCAAAGAATTCGCCTCGGGCCGCATACTCGAAATAAATAACTAATTTATTTTATTGAGGGGCAAAAGGCAACAGAAATAATAATAATAAAAAAAAAAAGCTAAACGAATGTATATTAAGCACCATATATAGATCTTATCGCTGGACAACTAATGCACAATATAATAATAATAACAAATGCTTGTAATCTTTGGGTTTTTTAAAAGTAATTTCCTTGATAAGATTCCTCCATACGCTCAATCCCCCCTTTGTAGTTTCTCTATTAAATATAATACCTAGACATATTGGCTATGTATGCAATCTATATATATATACTTATATTTATATGTATATATGGAGTTCAGTTATATGAAACACGATACACAAGCTAATCGCTGGCAATTAAATGCGCTAATTTAAACATTTTCCATTGTCAGAGACATTCGACAATTTTGAATGACTTGGAATAATTTATCTTTAGACCCGTAACACAATTTACAGCCTAACGGTGATTCGTTTAAATAAAAACCGATTATATGTTGTGCCATAAAGTGTTATATAAATACAAAACTCTTGTGATATTTACGTCAATTGCTCGTGCTATTTGTGGCTAAAAACAAAACTTATCTACACAATAAAAATGCACAGAAAAACCAAAGAGAAACCAAAAAAAAAAAAAAAAAAGTATTATACTTCAATTAGAAAATCTATTTTCAGATTGCTATATCTTTGGTCGGATATGTTTTTATTAAGTCGCAATGGTATGGCATTTGGAACTTGTTCTTAATTGCACTGATTCCGCATTCCTCTATATATATACGCATATGTATATGTAGAGGTACGATTATGCTTTAATCTGTTCCTTTTCGATATATTTATCATGTTTCAT